ACTGTCCTGGACCAACATTTTGGTATCCTAAGACATAATTTGTACAAGGAAGGATGGTTGCTAGACTTGCTCCCTTTATTTACCAAATTTTTTAACAAATGGGCTCCTTAGCATCCTCCAAAGGTACCCAATTTCTGTCTTTTATTTTTTCATTTTGTTTTGTGTTACAGTACTGGGGATTGAACCCAAGATATTATACATTCTAGGCAAGTGTTCCACCATTGGAATGAATTCCTAACCCAAAACATATTTGACCACTGTTTTAGTTTTTAACTCTCACTACGTAGCCCAGGCTGGCCTCAAATCACCAATCTTCCTGCATCAACCTCTCAAATCCTGGTATTACATGGATATACTCCAGCAGTTAGCCTCCAATTATCTTCTTCTTTTTTTTTTTTTTTTTGGCAGAACCAGGGATTGAACTCAGGCCCTATCCTACTAAGCTATGTCCCGCCCCCCAATTCTCTTTTAAGTATTATTATCACCTCATTTTTATTCTATTGAATGAGCTTGTTGTTTGTTTTCTGAGACAGGATCTCATTATGAAGTAAAGGCTGGCCTTGAACTCACTATAGTCCAAACTGGCCTTTAACTTGTGGCAATTCTTCTACCTCAGCCTCCAGTGCTGGAATGCTGGGATTACAAGCACACCAAATCCAGCTATCAAACAAGTTTTTATTGAGTTGCAGAAGCCTCTGCACTGTGGCTCCTGTTTCTGACTTGGCCCTACTAGTTGGGGATACCGTCCTTGTGCCTAGTAAGGAAGACACTACAGAGCATCTTACATATTTCTCGCTCAGAATTTGCAAGCAGGCCTTTTTCCAAGGATCCCAGGCTCTCTTTGGTTGGTTACAGTATTTAAAAATAATAGTATGTGATTTTAATGTATTTTGGTTTTGCACAACTTTACATTACCAGAGATTAAACCATAGTGTGCTTCACCACTGAGCTACAGATCATTCAATTTTTTTTCTATTTTCAGGTAGGATCTCACCAAACTGCCTTGACTAGCTTCTGCCTCAGTTTCCCAAGTAGCTGAGATGACAGATGTATACCACCATGCTCAGCTTTTAATATGGTGTTTTTTTTTAAATGGTTTTAAATATGATTTTATATTTAGTAGGAGCAAACATACCTCATTTTTCCCCCCAAAAGTCTTAGCTATTCTTCCATATATATTTTTCCAAATGAACTTTAGATTCAACTTGCTAAGTTTCCAAGAGGAAAAACAATGTTAAAATTATCATCACCATCACGTGGTGATACAAGCCTGTAATCCCAGTGTTCGGGAGGCTAAGGCAGATCACCGTACGTTCAACACCAGCCAGGCTACATGACTTTAAAGCCATCCTGAATTATGCACCAAGACTCTATCTCAAAAAAAAAAAAAGGGGGGGGCCTGGGGAGATAGCTCAGTGGAATAAGTGCTTGCCTGGCAAGTGCAAAGTCCTGAGTTTGATCCCTGGCACCACCAAAAAAAAAATCAAAATCTCATCAGTATTGCATAAAATGCATAATTAATTTAGAGCTTTGAGAGCTCTCATTTAAGATTCTCCATCTAGAAACACTATTCTGTCTGATTGCACAGTTTCATCATTTTCTTTCTATAACTTACATTTCTTTTTCTTTTTAACATATTTGGTTGTTACAGGATCTTACTACACAGCTCGGACTCATAGCAATCCTCCTGTTTCCAGCCTTCCAGTACTGGGATTACAAGCTTATGCCACTATGCCCAGACTCTGTGACAGACTCAGCCCACCCTATGGGTGGGGCTGGCATGGCAGGTGGCACCAGCATCGAACCATGTGACTCCTGTGTTTGCCTAAGCTTTGCCTACAAAAGCACTTTAATCGCTGAGCTATCTCGCTGGCCCATAACTTACATTTCTTACATTTCTTGTCAAATTTTTTTTTATTTCTTTTATTTTTTTATTATTTTGTTCAGGAACCAGGGACTGAACTCAGGCCCTTACGTTTGCCAGGCAAGCGCTTATTCTACTGAGCTATCTCCCTGGTCCCAAGTTTATATTTTTATCAAGTGACAATATTCTTCCCCACCATATCCTTCCCCACTCAAGTCCTAACAATCAAAAATGTTATGACAATGGGCTGGCCAAACAGCTCAGCTGATTAAAGTGCCTGCAAGCAGATGCAGGGGCTGGGAGTTTGATCCCTGGGCCTGCCATGCTGGAACCGCCCCTAGGGCATGCTGCAATTGAGACTGGGTGTGGTGGCGCATGCTTGTAACCCCAGCTCTAGGGAGGCTGTAAATAGGCAGATCACTTATGAATCCAATCTAGTAATGAGACCCTGAGCACCCTATAGACCCTTCCCTAAAATACAAAAAAAAAAAAAAAAAAAAAAGTTATGACAAAATTGCCCCAATAATATTACCCTAGTTAAGAATTCCTAGGGGCTAGGGAGATGGCTCAGTGGAATAAGCGCTTCCCTGGCAAGCGCAAAGACCTGAGTTCAATCCCTGGCTCCACAAAAAAAAAAAAGAATTCCTAGGGGCTGAGGAGATAGCTCAGTAGAATAAGCGATTGCCTGGCAAGCACAAGGGCCTGAGTTCGATCCCCAGTTCTGGAAAAAAAAAAAGAATTCCTGTTTTACAGTACTTCAAAGCAAAATAAGAAAGAAAATAAATCATCCTTATTTGTAAATTATAATATGGCCCATTCAGATTAAAATCTAAGTGAGGCAGGCCAGATAGCTCAGCAGATTAAAGTGCCTGCTTAGGCAGATACAGGGGCGGAAGTCCCAGGTGCGCAATTGAGATTGGGCATGGTGTCATGAGCCTATAATCTCAGTGCTTGGGAGGTTGTAAACAGGCAGATCCCTATGAATCCAATCTACATAGTGAGACCCTGAAGCCCCTGTAGACCCTGTACTAAATACATAAAAAATAATAATAATAAAAATAAAACCTAAGTGAATTAAATGGCTAGACAGACCTTGGGAAGCTAAGGCAGGAGGACTCCAAGTTCTAAGCCCTGCCTGCATAATACAGTGAATTAGCAAGATTCTGTGTCAAAAAGAGTAAAGTAGGGGCTGGTGAGATGGCTCAGTGGTCTAAAACACCTACTTAGAACAAGCTAAGCTGGGGCTGGTGAGATGGCTCAGTGGTCTAAAGCACCTCCTTACAACAAGCTTAGCAAAGCACAGGAACCACGGTTCAATCCCCCAGCACCACATGTCAGCCAGCCCTGCCCCCTGGTGGGCTGAGCTGGCCACACACACACACATAAATAAATAAAATTTAAAAAAAAAAAAAACAAGCTAAGCTAAGCAAAGCACAGGGACCGCGGTTCAATCCCCCAGCACCATATGCCAGCCAGCCCTGCCCCCTGGTGGGCTCAGCTGGCCACACACACACACAAAATAAATAAATATTTAAAAATTTTAGAAATAAAAGATTTTTTGGGCCCAAGGAGATGGCTCAGTGGAATAAGTGCTTCCCTGGCAAGCGCACGGACCTGAGTTCAATCCCCGGTTCCGCAAAAAAAAAAAAAGAAATAAAAGATTTTGTCATTATGAAAACTTCATTGTTAGGGCCAGCCAAATAGCTCAGCGGATTAAAGCGCCTGTAAGCAGGCCCAGGGGCTGGGGGTTTGATCCCAGTGTGCCAAAATGGTAATTGAGACTGGGCGTGGTCGGGCACACCTATAATTCCAGCTCTTGGGAGGCTGCAAACAGCTGGATCACTACAGTTGAATCTAGCTGTAAGACCCTGAATACCCTGTAGACCCTACCCTAAAAATAAAAAAAA